GTGTTTACAGATTGATTAATAACCTATCTATAAACTCTTTAAAAGCCATCTACAAGGGGAGCCTTATTGTAAAGTGGTACTCTATTAAAAAATACATTACATTAAGTGTTTGAACAGGAATGACTGGTTAAATGTATACAACTTAACAAAACTGGGGATTTGTGAGAAAGGATGCCAAACACAGAATTGGCCCCTCTATGAATATTGTGACCTCTTGATGGCCCCCTTACTCAAAAAAAATCCTAGATCCGCCACTGTTTCGCTTGTGGGAAATTGCCTGACGTCCGCACATTCTCCAGAAAAAAGACACCTACAGGTAAAGGGGCGGAGAGCAGGGCGGCCAGGTGTCTACGCCGTCATCATAAGAAAAAAAAAAAAGGTGTAGCAGCCCTTAACGACGCGGCTGTGGATCTGAAGGCTTTTCACAAGTTTTCCTCATGGATCTGACGCAGGAGTCCATCCTCTCCCTGCTGATCGCGGAGGGAGGCCAGGTGAAGAGATCCGACTTGGTGGCGAAGTTCAAAGCTTCCGTGGACTGCGTCGATCCCGCGGAGAAAGAGCGCAACAGGGAGCTGTTCAAGACGTTCGTCAACAATGTCGCCTTCGTCCGAGAGCTCGACGGCGCCCGGTGCGTCGTGCTCAAGAAAAACTACCAGCATTTGCTTCGGACCGACGAGAGCCGCGCGGAAAAGAGTGAAGAGACCAGGCTGCCAGGTGAGCAGGAGATGGAGCCCAAAGAGAAGGGAGGGTCCGCTGCTTGTCAGGTTGAAGAAGAAGAGGCAAGTGAAAGTGGTGGAGACCCTGTAGAGTCCACGTCTGTGGTACAGCTGGCTCTGCGAAGGAGCAAATCGGACCATCTGAAAGTGAAAAGGATGCTGAATGTCGACATCAACAAGGTGGAACCAGATAAAGGGAATCATTCAAGAGTGGTACCCGCCAAGGAGAGCAGACCCTACGCCTTGCCTCTGAGAATGCCACCCAGTTCTACAAAAGTCGAGGTTCACAAGCTGAAGACGGATGAGCCTCCTGAGATTGTCAAAGCGGAGACCTTCAGGAACAAGAAGAGACCGTCGTCCGTGGAATCAGGCAGGGCGGTGAAGAAGGCATCCGAGGAGTCCAAAATGGACTCCAGGGCGTCCTCCATGTTTCCCCTGGAGCAGGCTGAGCACGACTGGCTGGTGAAGTGCGCCTCGGGTCACTGGGGTCAGGTCTACGGCCTGTTGCTGAATGACTGCCAGCTGATCGAGAAGAAGGATTTCATGTCTGGCTTCACCGCCCTGCACTGGGCTGCCAAGACTGGGAACAGCAACATGCTCGTGCAGCTCATCGACACGTCCAGGCGGGGGGGAGTAGACGTGGACGTCAACGTCAGATCCCACGGAGGATACACTCCTTTACACATCGCTGCCCTGCACAACCAGGAKTACATCATGGCCATGCTGGTGGGGGAGTACGGGGCCAAACCGGGCTTACGGGACAACTGGGGGAAGAAGGCCCACCAATACCTGAACAAAGTCATCTCTCCCACCCTGAGGGAGATGCTGGGAGCACCCGAGGTCCATCGACAAGGTCTCAGTAAGGCTTCTCTCCAGAAAGAGGAGCTGGATCCACCGCCGGACCTCTCAAAGAGCCTGCATTCAATAGGCCGACTCTTTCAGCCCACCATCCCGGGCCAAAAGAAGAAGCAGGGTCCCAGGTCGGGGCTTTACTCTCTGAGCGAGGACAGCGGGGAGCGAGATGCAGGCGTCTACAGATTCAGAGCCATGTCTGACAATTCCAAGTGTTGACTGAACTTCTTTGTTTCACATCCTTCACATTCTGAAATCAGTTTTTCCTCTATTGCTTTGTTGTGAACAAACAAGCAAAAAATGACTTTTTAATTATTGGAACTTGGATGTGCTCAATGACTTGGAACAGTTTTTGATTTAAAATGGAACGTTCATCARTGGTTGAAATTAGTTTCTGAGTGCTGTTCTCAATGGGTTTCGTTTGGTGTAAAASAGTCCTGGGACAATTCAGCCCATGGTATCAACTGCGTACCCCTCAAAAAAAAGGGGGTATTTAATGTCATTTAGGGGGTTTATTTCTGATGTTCAGGGGATTCAGACAAACTTCGCTGAAGATCCGCTTATAGCATTTAAGACTAATTTGTTAAG